CTCCAATTTTCCTCCGACCATCTTTAATCTCCCCTCCCCCCTCCACCCCCCCCCTTTCTCCAATGGGGTGGGTGGGTGGGTGGGTGGGGTGGGTGGGTGACGACGACGGGGTGGGCGTGGCCTCCTCCTCCTCCTCCTCTTCTCAGTTGTCCTGCATGGTCTGGTGGATCCAGCGGGCGTACCGGCAGACCTTGGTGTAGACGCCGGGGCGCCGGGGGCGGCCGCAGCGCTCCATCCCCCACGAGACGATGCCCTGCAGGGTCCCCCCGCACACCAGGGGGCCCCCAGAGTCACCCTGGGGTGGGGGGGGAGGGGACACACACAAGGGGTCAAAGGTGGGACCTTCTTGGCCTTGGCGACCTTTTTGGGTCAACCAAGTCCTGGTTGGGTTGGCCAAGCCCTGGTTGGGTCGGCCAAGCCCTGGTTGGGTTGGGTGACCTCTTGGTGGACCTTCTTGGTCCTGGTGACCTCTTTGGGTCAACCAAGCCCTGGTTGGGTCGACCAAGGCCTGGTTGGGTTGGGCGACCTCTTGGTGGACCTTCTTGGCCTTGGTGACCTCATTGGGTCAACCAAGCCCTGGTTGGGTTGGGTGACCTCTTGGTGGTCCTACTTTGGTTGGGTGACCCCTTGGTGGACCCTCTTTGGGTCAACCAAGCCCTGGTTGGATTGGCCAAACCCTTTGGGTCAACCAAGCCCTAGTTGGGTTGGGTGACCTCTTGGTGGTCCTACTTGGGTTGGGTGACCCCTTGGTGGACCCTCTTGGGGTCAACCAAGCCCTGGTTGGGTTGGGTGACCCCTTGGAGGACCCTCTTGGGGTCAACCAAGCCCTGGTTGGGTTGGCCAAGCCCTTTGGGTCAACCAAGCCCTGGTTGGGTTGGCCAAGCCCTGGTTGGGTTGGGTGACCCCTTGGTGGACCTTCTTGGCCTTGGTGACCTCATTGGGTCAACCAAGCCCTGGTTGGGTTGGATGACCCCTTGGAGGACCTTCTTGGTCTTGGTGACCTCTTTGGGTCAACCAAGCCCTGGTTGGGTTGGGTGACCCCTTGGTGGACCTTCTTGATCTTGGTGACGTCTTTGGGTCAACCAAGCCCTGGTTGGGTTGAGTGACCTCTTGGAGGACCCTCTTGGGGTCAACCAAGCCCTGGTTGGGTTGGCCAAACCCTTTGGGGTCAACCAAGCCCTGGTTGGGTTGGGTGACCTCTTG